GTTTGCGCCTTTGCAATGTGACTTTGAAGCTTCCTCCATCCAGAGGCAGCATCTATATTTCCACCCTTGAATCTGGAGTTGGCCACTGGGACGTGCTTTGGCCAATGGGATACTGGCAGATGTGGTACAAGCAGGGGCTTGAAAGTGTCCATGCAATGAAGCCGGCCCTCTCTTGTTGCTGCTGGGGACTCTTCCACCACCCTACGAATGAACCAGAGCCAACCTGTGGATGGCAGACATGGCCACCACCCCCCTGATGCCAGGTGAGCAGCCCCATGGGCGTGAGGCTGTCCTAGACCATCCCGGCCCAGCCCAGACCTGGCCAGCTGACCCACAGAACTGTGAGAATAACAAATGCTTGTCGTTCTCAGTCACAAGTTTTGGGACCGTTTGTTATATGGCGAAAGCTACCTGATGTGGAGGGCTCCTTGTTCAGGATGGAGCTTATCTCCACTCCCTAGCAAAATGCTAACCTGCCCTAAAACGAAAGGGAAGCAATAAAAGGTTATGGACCCATTAAGACACTGAGAAAAGTAACAAAAGCCACAGCAGATGAGCGATGTCAACACATTTCAGGAAGCTGGAAAGCTGAGGGAGGTGGGAAATGACTCGGCCGGAGTGGAAGAGGCAACCACCCAAGTGCCCGTAGAGGGGGCAGCCACAGCGGTGGGCTCGCTGGCCCTGCGGCGGTCTGGGGGGAAGGCTCAGGGTCCTGTGAGAACGCGGCACCAGTGACACACTGCACGGAGCTGCCAGGCAGCTGGCACCGTTTACCCTGTTCTCTCACTCAAGATTCATTATTTAGAGAAAGTCCACCAAATGGAATCCAGACCAGGGAACGTGAGGGACAAGGAGCACCGCGCTGCCTCCTTTAGGGGAGTGAGTGCAAGTTGGCATCGTCAAACACGGGCCCGAGCTGCCCGCCTGTCACGCTCCATGAACACCCCAGAGCTTCCAACTGACTTTCTCGGGCCTCAGTCTGAATGAGGAACACAGAGGGTCACCCAGACGTTTGAGGAAAAGCCTCTAACACGAAATACGGAGGCCAAAAACCAAACAAAAAGCCAGAGGTTAAAAAAAAAAGGAACTCAAAGAGAGGAGACACAACACAGGGAACAGAAGAAAAAACATTACGGATGTTTTCAGAGAGACAAGGAGAGGACGAGGCATCCATGAAACGCACGAAGAGGCTATAAAAAAGGAAGACTTCAGAGCAGAAAAGAACCCTGACAAATAAAACAGGAGAACTAAAGGAAAAATATCAGTAGAATGGGCAGAATTTAAAACTGAAAAAAAAAAAAAAACCACCCAGAAAGTAGAACAAAAAGATAATGAAATGGGCAACAGGAGAGAAAACAAGAACACACGGGCTCACGGCAGGGGGCTGGAAGGCGCTGCAGAGGGGAACAAGGGGGCAGATAGAATGAAATTTCCCCGAACGAAAGGCCACCAGTTACACAATGAACGAATATCACATTAGTATGAAATTCTGGAATATCGGTGACAGAAGATCTGACATTTTTCCAGAATCTTAAAAAACAAACAAAACAGACTAAACACAAAGAATGGGGGATACGGATGTCATTACACTTTTCAAAAGTAACTCAGAAGCCAGACAACAACACC